ATAATATATTGCAGCACCCATGGCTCCTCAGGGGGCAGCTGTGTGAAAGAGACAGCGCTGTGGCGTCCTGTGCATCCTTCAAAATGACCGCTGTTAAAAGAGCAGCTTCTGCCGGGCTCTTTTTTTGCTCGACCAAACACAGCAGCTGGGGTTAGTTTTTGTTTTGTTTGGGAGGGGAGCGTTTTGTTCAACTTTTTCCCCTCTGCTCTTTGCACTATTTGCACTATATCCACCTCTTTTTTGGCTCTTCATCTGTAACAGGTTGGCCACCCCTCGTCTACAGTAAGATGCAAGTGCCACTCTTCTATGGGAACTGCTAGGTAAAATTATTTGGCTCTGGCATGCTGGGTACACATGTAACCTTTGGCTGGGCTAAAGTTTATTTCATTGCCCTTCTCCAAAGCTAGGAGATGCAGGAAAGCACCTGGAAATGCAGAATTTAGTCATTAAGAATTTTCAGCAAGGAGATTGCCAGGTGTTATCCTCCCCACAATCAAGTCCAAAAGAACAAAATGAATGAACTTTAATTCTTAACTACCAACTTTTAAAAATCTTATGATAAACATAAATAATAACTAAATGTTTACAACATAACATGATTACCTTATAAGCCACAAACATTATCTTCATTATACATCAAGAAAACAAATTTAATTTGTACAGATCAGGTCCCCACAGGAACATGGTAAGAAGAAACTCACAGTTCCCAAAAGCTTAGGTTAAGTTCACCTGATCACCAAATTTGTATAGTCTGCAGAGTTAAAAGCAACATCTTTCCTCCCTTTCTATAATTAACATGGTAGGCAGTGTTCCCTCTAAGCTGTGAGGCAGTGCAGCTTCACAGGTAATTAATCAGCCCCCTGGAGTCAGAGGCTCAGGGCTCTCTGCATGTAGCTAGCTGACTGACTGGGCGGGGCTGTTTAATCACCTGTGAAGCTGTGTGGCCATGCAGTTTAGAGGGAACATTGATGGCAGGCTTCCCTGTTGGAGGATTAACAGTATCACTAACCTGCTGCAAAATGCTTCAGAGTTTGGAGAAAGTGTGCTTTGTGTTTCTGAGCACAGCTTCTCCCAGTCCTCACAGGGCAACCTGGCCTTTTGTAAACCTACTGCTTGCCCTCTTAGTCTGAGTCCAGCTATAAGGAAGCTATTGAGCATACCCAAAGTGACCATATCCAATTCCACTTCTGGATGTGGAGTGTTAATTATGCATCTGTTTAGCAACAATGATACAGGCAATTAATTCCTTCCTGCCCCAATCTCTTTCTTAAATGAATATCTCCCTACTAGGCATATGGATTACATGAGCATACCTAAATGAAATATCTGCATCACAACCCGAAGAACCATAATTATAATAAACTGATTTCTCTGGTCCTTTCACACTGGGGTCCTTTAATCTTACATAGGAATTAAGTAATTAATGATAAACATCTATTGTGTTATAATAATCATACATATGCTTTCTTTTAGATGAGAAATTGGACTTGAATGACAGCAAATGGGAAGATATACATGTCATCACAGGAGCTCTAAAAATGTTTTTCAGAGAACTGCCAGAGCCACTCTTCACATATAATCATTTCAATGACTTTGTCAATGCAATTAGTAAGTTCATAAAGCATGCATAAAATTTTCATAAATCATGAATATTTAAATATGCATAATACACTTAGTTGAAGTATGTTCTCCTTTTCATTGCTTAAAAAGGAAAAATTATGAAATTTTGTAAAGGTGTTACCTTCTATGCAGTGGTAATGTAGCCATGTCACACTCAAAATATTAGAGGCAAAGCGAGTGAATGGTCCCTTGGAATGTGTTAACTATTTATGCTAAACAATCTGTTCCACGCTGTTTTTATTTATGAAATTGACTACATTTCCCAGGCATGAAGAAGAGCTCTATGTAAGCTTGAAAACTTGTCACTTTCAGCAACAGAAGTTAGTTCAATAAAATAGTGGTTCTCAACCAGGGATGCACAGAGATCTTCCAGGATGTATCAACCCATCTAGATATTTGCCTAGTTTTACAATAGGCTACAGTAAAAGCACTAGTTAAAGTCAGTATGAAATTTTAGTTTGTACATCAATGACTTGCTTATACTGCTCTATATACAATACACTGAAATGCAAATATGCTATTTGTATTCTGGTTAATTTACTTTAGAATTATATGGTAAAATGAGACAGTAAGCAATTTTTAGCGCTTACTTATAAAATATATTTTTATTTTATATCTGATTTTGTAAGCAAGTATTTTTATGTGAAATGAAACTTGGGGGTACATGAGACAGACTCCTGACAGAGGTACAGGAGCTGGGAAAGGTAGCAAGCTCTGCAATAAGATATTTTACCTTCCAGTCTTGACTTTAAAGCAGGGGTGAGGAACTTCCAGCCCAGGGGCTGGATGCGGTCTCCGGCTTGCCTGGATGCAGCCCTCAAGGCTCAGGGCCCCCCTGCATTGGGGAGCCCGTGCTGGCACTCCAGCCTCCCTGCTTCCCCACCATGGAGCTGGAGCACACACAGTCTACTAGGCTGGGTGTCCCTAGGTTCTGGTGTGCAAGGGGAATGTGAGATTGTCTTTCTCCTTCTCATTAGGAGCCCATTTCAGTGAGGGTTGTTTGTTTTTGGCTTTTGTGTGCAGCCCCCAACCCAAAAAAGGTTCTCTCGCCCTGCTTCCGAATATCAGTAATATTCAGTGTGACCACTAGGTGGCAATGTGTTGTTTAATATGAGCACTGTAAAATTATGCACTTCATTCAGTGTTTGGTTTGGTATATGCTACCAAAATTTTAAATAATAATATTGAATGTATGGTTTGTCTCTTCCAGAACAAGAACCAAGACAGCGTGTTCATGCTGTCAAAGATTTAATTAAACAGTTGCCAAAGCCAAATCAAGATACCATGCAGATACTTTTTAGACACCTCAAGAGGTGAGTGGTAGAAGGAGTCTTAATGTACTGCAGAGCTCCCTTAAAGCTAGGGTTACCAAGTAGCAAGTGTGAGAAATTGGGAGAAGGGGTGGGGAGTAACATATGCCTATATAAGACAGAGACTTTCCCTATGAAATTGGGACATGTGGCCATCTTTCTTACAGTCCTGGGGAATGGTTCTAATCATTCTTCCTTTAGTTTCCTGTGCTTCATCAAAGCAAAACACTTGTCTGTGTTTATATAAGTGTGCAGAGAAGCAAACCCAACTTTTGGCAGTAGTTTTTAGTTTTGCTGTTACCTTCTGAAGCTTCAGATTATAGAGACAAGAGCTAGTTTCAAATATATTTGAAATAGTGAAGGTTATATTACAGTAGTGCCGTCTTTTGTGAATGATAGTAAATATGGAATAAATATTGTGAGGAATTACTAATTTGGTTTTGTTTCTCTTCTGGTAACACATTATTTTCTCTCATCAATCAATTTAATTTTCAAATAACATTTTCTTCTTTTTCCCCAGAGTTGTAGAAAATGGAGAAAAGAATCGAATGACCTATCAAAGCATAGCAATAGTTTTTGGACCAACTCTATTAAAGCCAGAGAAAGAGACTGGTAACATGGTCCACACTGTATACCAGAATCAGATTGTAGAATTAATTCTACTGGAACTGAACTCTATCTTTGGACATTGAAATTTTCTGAGAATTAAAACTGAAGTGATGAGTTGTCAACAGATTTCTATCAAAAGTCAAATCTGTGTGTACATGATGTATTGTGTTTGTGGACCAAGAAACAGCTCAATTTTGCACTTTTCAATGGGATGGGAGGGAAAGACATGGAATGAGCATTTGGCCGATTGAATTGCTATTAATGCAAATTGATGAAATTTTGAATTTATAATTTCACTTATATTGTGATTATTAAAAATTTTGTATTCTACCTTTTTTAATAATTTCAATTCTAGTATGAACATATACACTGGATTTCTTGGTGGAAAGCTTAAAATTGATCAGACTGGATAATCTGGAATTTTTTTTAACCTTTAAAAAAACCTTTCCTCTGCTTGAAAGGTTGAGGAAAACCCTATCAACTGGCTTTGAAAATGTTCTTGGATACTTATAGTGATAATAAAATTATATCCTATGCTTATGTACTGAAACCTGTGTAGATCCTGTCAACAGGGATTCTGCATGCAGTGTGACTGTTTTTAAGCTAGTGCTAACAGTGGTCAGTGTGGTTTACAGTAATGCAAATAATCCCTCACTTGAGGCTTACTTTTTAAAAAAAGTAATATGTAGCATCCTTGCTGGAACATCTAATTGCTTGATAGAAGAGGACCCTATTATTTGTAACACTGAACTTGCATTGTAAGTATATCCAGCAGAGGATTTGTTTTGCCACATATTAGAATTTTTATTTAATACACAAATCCATTTTTCTGGGTATTGGACTACATTTTGTGCTATAGTGAATTGCAGTTAACAATCCTAATTCAAATACCAACTTTACTAACACTGTACAGAGTTCTTGGAATGATCCTGTGGTAGTGAACATTTTTGGATGCAAATACAGACTTAAGAAGTGAATGATCTTTGGCTTATGTACATAATTCAGTTTTTGTATAGTTTCAGAGTACCTTCTAGTTGCACATTTCTAATCATGGCTAGATTAGATACAGAGAGTGTAACATTTCCAGTGTATGTCTGGGTTTCCTCAGTAAAACAGGTTACTCAAAAAACTAAATGTGCACTTTTAGATGTTAATTACATTTGCAGGCAAATATTTGTAATGCAAATGGTACTGGAAAAATACCGTGTGTGCTTGCTAAATTGTTAATGCACTACAAGAAGAGCCTTTTAGGTTATTTAATATGTACAGGATACATTAGAGAAATGTATTACAGATACTAACATTTGCAAATAATGGGAATATGTTCCACTAGATGTTTGTTGGAAATAATGACATAATGCTAAATTCAATTATTCCTTTTTACATTAATAATGTAGATTAATTTGTAAAATAAATTGGCTTTGGAAGATTTTTGTTACAGGGAGCATGGTCTACTGAAGATTTTTTAAATGTATTTTTTTAGACTAACTGCTGTACCTGATATTTGTTATGTCTAATCTGAATAAAGAAAACCATTAGCTAGTTTGGAATTTGCTAATCCAAATTTGGATGACACTGAATTTGCAAATACTCTCAAATATTCAGTTGTATGACTGCCTGAAATGACATTTCTCCTGCAGCAGAATCATTGTGCTGTGGTTACAAATGAGCCTCTAAAAGAAATGTTTAAGAATCCCTCTTTTTCCTCAACAGTAATTGGACTGTATGATGAAGGTGGATATTGGTTTAAATTTGAAAATATTTATAAGTATTCCACACAAATGTTTTTGTCATAATGTTTGATATGTTCCACGCACAAATCACCACCACAAAAGGAAGGCAAAAAAGTGATGAAATTATCCAATTTGACCTGTGATCTCTTCTGTATGTTCAAAGTGAGGATTTCAGAAGCAGAAAGCTTGCTTGAAAAGTCTTTGTAGATAAAAGAAGGGAAAACTAATGTTGTGGTTTTCTCACCTTTTTTAGTATGGTAGTGATGAAGTCTTGCAGTTTGTTGCAAAACAACTTGGGTGAGAATCACGATATCAATAAATCAGTGTTGCATTTTTAACCTCCTGTTGAGCTTTAAAAGTATAATTTCTTTGATACCTGTTCAGAAACACAATATGTTAGTAGAAAATATGAATGAACTTGAAATCTGTTGTTAATTATTCAAATCCCAATTTTTTAAAACATTTATTTCTTTTGAATAATATTGCTTAAGTACAGATGATGTCTAAGTGTTGCTATATTCAAAGTAAGAAAAAACCTGTTTTTGAATATCCTCATAACAGTGAGGAATATAACTTTCCATTATATTCCCAGAGGATTTAGTATTTATTACATAATGTTATTTATAATATACTTTATTTTTCATGAAGCAAGTGATATGAAAGCTTTAATTTGCTAAATGTTAGTTTGGGAAGAGGGAAATTCTTACAAAGCCCCAATAAATGTGGCAGTCAACAGGCAAATAAAACTGATCTACTTAATGGAAAAAGACAAACATGCCTACTAGAAGTTTTATACATTAGAACCATGACAGTTTACTTATTTTATCTCTTGCTTCTTTTTCAAACCCTAGTGTTAGAAATGTGGCAAATGTAGCACAGATTAATCTTCTGTGTCTAAGATTAGTCAGTTGCCAAGCTGCTTCCTGAAACTGGCACACCTTTAAGTATAAGAGGTTTATGGTTTGGTTTGACATTTTATTTTTACATTGAATATTTCAATATCACCATGGAACACAGGACAGGTTGATGAAAGCTGAGCAGCTGAAAAAAATAAAGGTAAATAGTTACATTTCATAAGTTTTATTTGAGCCCAAAATAGGAATAAAAATGTGTAAAGAAAAGTGAATAGTTATGAAAGTTTGATATTTTTATTAAAACTGGAGACAATTATTAGTATGCCAAAACTTTTCAGATTTACAGCCTGTATCCTCATTGTGGCTATGTATTTGTCAACTTGTTTTGCAAACTCAAGTTTGGCCCATTGTCAATAGCTGCATGGCTCATGGAAGTGCTGTATATAGTATTACTAAAAAGTGACATTTAGAACTGCTCAAGCTTGGTATTGAGGAAATTTTGCCATAATTACTATCGATCAATGCAGAGAACTGGGTGCAAATAAAGACTATTTTAATAAATGTTTAAATAAAATAGTTTTCAAATTGACTTGACATGTCCCTTTGGTTTTTCTTTAAAAACAGTCGTGAATGTAATCAAATCTTACAAACTAGCAAGCCTGTCCTGAACTTCAGCCATCAAATTAAAGCCATAAGTAAAGTCCTTTATTGCATCCTCTGCATTATGACATTCAAATCCTAACAGCATTGGAGAGAGAAGGTGAGCTAGAAAATATTATGCCAATTAAAAGTTCAGTCTAAAACAGTAAATAGCTATACTTTAGCTAGTTAATTACAGAGTGCTACTTTTTGTTTCCCTTAAAGGAAACAACTTTATTCAGACGCAGAAAAGAGCAATGATATTTTGGAATCTATTGGTAATTCATAAGCCATAAACTTCAGGCAGTCAGACATTTGGCTCTGAAGGAGGAGGTACAGAATGTCTAATAAGGCATTCTGCAAAGAGAAGGGACTTCCTCTGAAGAATCTTAATTAGTCTTCACAATTGCAAAGTTTTGTGGGCAAGCAGCTGCTGAGTCTGTATTCTGCTGGCTCACAAAGTACCCTATGTGATTACGGAACTTAAATGAACATTTTTCTTCATGGCATTCTCGTAAACAGAACACTTGTAAAACAAGATAACACTATGACAAAGTAACATAAAAGGCATTTGGAGGGGACTTGGCCTCTTTTGGTTCCATTTTTCCCTTGAGAATTAAATGGTAGCTCAGATATTAAAGAATTTACAATTTCCCTAAATTGACTGGCTTCAGAGAAAATTATATATAGACACTTATAATGATTTTTGTGAAAGAAAATAAGTAGCTAATCTACCTCTAGCAGCTGTATAAATATCTATGAATCAGCAATTCTTAAATGAACTCTTAGTTTTATAGATGGGGTGGGATTTGTTTTGGTAATGAATAGGTATTTCTTTTAGGATTGTTCCACTACTTGCACAGATATATAGCTTATCAGGAAACCAAAAATAGAGATCACTGGCTTAGGGGTAAGTTGATACTACCCCCAAAGGATTCTGCAGGTGACGAGAGAGATACTGAGAGGGAGATTTGAGAGGTCACACAAATGGCCCAAAGCAACTGAAGTACTGAAGATGGAAGAGCCAAACTGGACGACCAGAAAGAAACTGGAGCACAGTAGAAGGGCCAGGGAGCAGAGATCTGAGCAAGCCAGATTGCATGGAATTCTGCTCTGTTTGCCAGCCTATTCTGCAATAAAACCCACCAATGCATGAAAATCACATTTCCTTTCCCAAGACCCCACTCCTTTGGGGCCCCATCCTCTCTGTTCCTCTCCTCTCCATCACTTCCTATCCCCAGCTGTTATACACTCACTGGGTTGAGACAGGAGGTGCGGGCTCTGGGTTGGGAATGAGGGATTTGGGGGTGCAAAGGAGTGAGAAGTGCAAGCTCTGGGAAGGAATTTGGATGCAGGAGAAGGAGATGCTGGCTTGGGGAGGGGGCTCCAGGCTGGGGAGTGTTGTGCTCAGGTGGAAGGTTGGGGTGCTGAGCAAGTCACAGGCTTGTGGATATGAGGGTGCAGGAGTTTGGGTTGGATATGTGAGGGTCTCAGGGCAAGGAGGCTGTGATTATTCTGGGCTCAGGAGACAGATTTGTGATGTGTGGATGGTGCAGGAGTGTTGTGGCAGAAGACTGAAGATGTGGGGATGCAGGAGTTTGGGGATGTAAGAGACTCAGAATAGGGGGTTCCAGTGTATGATAGGCTCAGATTTGGGGTCAGGTGATGCTGCAGTGAGATGGGGATTTGGTGGCAATTGGGGGATGTTGGCCAGACTTCATTTTTAAATAAAATGTCAAACTCAAAAGGTTTTAGCATTGTCTTTGAGAGGGCAGGGAACTTTTGAGTCACTGACCCACAAAAGTCAGTTGGGACCTCACAAGTGCGATACAAAAAAAAACCACTCCAGAACCCCAAGCTTCACTAATGTGGTCCCAACTGTGATGGTGAGCGCAGGGGACAGAGTGCTAGTGGGTGCTGGGGCTGGGGAGAGGGTGCTGGTTGCTGGGGTAGGTGGCAGGGTGCTGGGGCCGGGGACTGGGTGCTGGGGACAGTGCTGGTGGGGGCAGGGTACTGGCACAAGTGCGATACAAAAAAAAACCACTCCAGAACCCCAAGCTTCACTAATGTGGTCCCAACTGTGATGGTGAGCGCAGGGGACAGAGTGCTAGTGGGTGCTGGGGCTGGGGAGAGGGTGCTGGTTGCTGGGGTAGGTGGCAGGGTGCTGGGGCCGGGGACTGGGTGCTGGGGACAGTGCTGGTGGGGGCAGGGTACTGGGGGGGGGGGGGTGGGGGCAGGGGC